CGTTACCCTTAGGAGAACTATGGGGAATAGCCCTGACCCCATAGTTTTCCTTTAACTGTAAATAGCTTTGAAGTACAATTACACCTTCATTTTTGTTTGCATATATCTATGCTAGCATTTTTAAGTTGCATTAGTGAAATAAATTAACTTTGCACGATATTCTAATTATTCGAGTTTCACCTGTATATGCAAAAACATAAGAAAAATAAAATAAAAAAAGTTACTAAACAAGTAAAAAAAAACATCTTCGGCCAGGAGAATAGGAGAGACACAGGGTTAGCCAATATGCGCAGCCGACAGCGTGCACGTTGACAGACCCCGAAGGACAGGAAGAGACGGGAGTCTGCGCTGGATCAGAGACCGGCACCAGAACTCGAGGGACTGCTGAAAACTACAGGAAAGAAGATGATCGGATCAAGAGGCCCCATTTAAGGTAAGTCCTTAACTACCTCCCGGCCAGCCGCTGTGTATACACGGCCTGCCGGGAGCTTCTTGGATGTAACTGGGCGTGTATACACGTCCTGTTACATCCACCCGCTCGGGCGCGCCATGCGGTCGCTGAACACTGAAAAATGGCCTGGCCAGGTAGGGGATCTAAACACCTGGTCTTCAAGCAGTTAAAGCAGCATTGGGGGGAAAATGTGACTTTAATAAAGGGTTAATGTTTTCAAAACCCTTTTTATATGTATAGTTAGCGATTATACTGGATATGTACATGGGTGCAGCCATATTTTCTTCTGACATAACCGTGTTCTGCTTTCTGCTGATCCCTTTATCTCACGAAAAGTCAATTCAATGAAAATAATAGCCCCTTAAAAATCTCTAATGATGTCAAATATCCACAGTGCACCTGGAAGTGAGAGACAATGTGATCTTTTCCTAAGCTGTAAATGGCATTATAGAACACAGCTGTCAGGGAGCCAAGAAAACAGACAGAAAGCTAAAGTTCAAGTTAAAAAAATAAAAAGAAGTTTATTGAAAATAACAAAGAAAATTGGAAAAAAAACAAAACAAAAACAACAAGAGAGGAAGTCCAGGATGTCATCAGTGCCAAGCCAGAGGTCAGGTGCCAAAGTGGGTAGTCAGCCGAACTAGGTCAGGGAACACAGAGCAGAGTGAACGGAAACAGCAGCCGGAGTCAGGAGATCAGTCAGCCAGAGCCAGGGGTATACACAGAGAACAGGAACAACTGCAGAGCACTTGGTAGATCAGAACACACGCATAGGCAGAGACAAAACGGACAAGGCGAAGGTTAAATAGTGAGCTGGTGTTGCATCATCACTCTGAGACAGGACGTTGCCAGGAGTTTGCTAGAAGTTCCAGAATGATGATGTGTCCGGGTTTGGTCATAGGAGGTTGCCAAAGAGGAATAAACAGTGTTGGAGACACTGCAACAGAAGACATGCTGCACCTCAACAGGACCAGGAAGGGTAAGAAACCCTGACAACAGCACAATATTTCCTTTTATTAAAAATATTTCAGACTTCCGCCCGATGGAGTAGCGGTGTACGAGAGTGCTCCGTCCCGCTAATTAACGAACACATCCTAATACCGCTCTCACCCGGTCCTTTCTGCAGCCGAATCACCCGGGATCGATCAGTGGATGATGGACAAATTCTTATCGAGGCCGCAGTCAACTAGACGGAACATTCTTCCGCTCGAGACCTCTCCACGTGAATCTCCCGACATGGCGGACCGGAGCGAGCCCAGAGAAGACATGCAGACAGGCGCGCCCCCCACGCTAACATCTGACACTGGGGTAGACTACCAGGCACTAGCTTCTGCGGTGGCAGCGCACCTGAAAAAGGATCTAATGGCGATTATCGCCGACTCTATACAGCACCACATGGGCAAAATAAATCAGGCCCTGGACACGCAGGCAGGCCGCATACAAGCAGTGGAACAAAGGGTGGGGGAACTGGAAGACCACATACGGGACACTCAGTTGTCACGGGTTGAATCTGACAAACAAGTCGGGTACTTACTAGACAAGGTAGATGACCTTGAAAATCGTCTGAGGCGAAACAATCTGCGGGTAATAGGTCTCCCGGAATCGGTACCTCCAGGCGAGCTACATCACTTCTGCTCCCGAGTTATACCACATGCGCTGGGCCTTAAAACACCATGTAAAGTAGAAAGGGCTCACAGACTCGGCCCACCCCGAGACCAGCAGAAGCCGAGACCTGTCATTGTCAGGTACCTTGATTTCGCGGATAGAAAGGATATACTTTTGGCTTATCGCTCTCATCGTCAGTTCATAGCAGATGGCCATAGACTCCTGGTCTTCGCTGATTATTCGGCCATCCTATCCAAGCAAAGGAAAGCATTCCATGAGAGCTGCCAGCTGCTAGTGGCCCACCGCATAAAATTCAATATGGCGTACCCAGCGGTGCTTCGGATTTCTACATCGGAGGGTCATCACAAATCCTTCACTTCGGCAACTGAGGCGCATGCTTACGCCCTGACACTGCAAACTGATTTCACCCCTGCGTCCACATCTTCACCATCAAAAAGTCCGCCGCGCAAAAAGAAGGCTTGAAAACCTGCTGCCTGTCTGCAATGCAGTTACTGCCTACTTAGGGCAAGGCCCTTCATGTGTTCACTTTGCATCCTAGACACTGTCTTTGGGACGGAGCACACTTCCACATACGGTGTTTTACTCGAAGGTCATTTCATATGACACTACAGCGATCAACAAGCTGCACCCACCTACGGGAAAAAAGGAAGTCACCCAAAGTATATGCCATGACACTGGCTTTCTGTTTTTTTGTACAACTTTTGTTTTTTATTCAATTTTTTGCACTGCCATGTTTGGGCAGTTACCCCAACCTCTTGCCCACTCCTGCTCCACATTTATACCTTGGGGCGAAGATAGCCCATACAGCTCCCGAAGGCACAAATAGCCCGTACAGCTCCCGAAGGCAGACGAGCTGAAGGCATATGCTTAGGCTCGACTGAGCCAAAGTGACAGCCGAAGAGGGGCGAACAGCCAGCCGAACTTCTCGCAAATGACAGCTGGGCAGAGCAGCCGTGAGACCCGCCCAGTTGTAATGACAGATCAGCATCCCCAAATGACCTGGGGACGCTGAACTGTCATTAAACAATAACAACTGGGTGGAGCTGGCCATGACGTCACGGCGTGCTCCGCACAGTTGTTATTCACTGGCCCAGACCTGCTAGAAGACTCTGGCAGGTGCCAGCCAATAGGAAACAGTTGGGCCGAGCTAGCTGTCACTGCTAGCTCCGCCCACGTTTACATTTTTTTAATCTTTATTATTTTTTTTTTCGACTTTACATTTAAAAAATATTTTTTTCAACTTTTGTCATTGATTTCCTATTCCAGAATAGCCGAGCCCAATGCATTTGTGGTAACGCATAATAAACAGTGCATTAACCACTAGTGTGAACCGGCCCTTAGATGGACACTTACAGCTAGATAGACTTCAAGTATGTGACAAACACTGAAGGCGAACACATTTTAAGCCCTTTCGGCAAAAATTGCTTAAATCATGACAATAAGAGCTGACAACTGTAAGCCCCTCCAGTAGTGTTATACGGTTTGTCCCAACCCTGATGTCACTTTCACTGGACACTTTGGTCTGTTATAGGATCTGGGAAAATAATGGATCTACTGACAGGATCAACTGATAACTCTGCTGGGTAAATGCTAAATGACAGAGTCACCATATAGGCCATTAAGGATTTTGCTTATAATTTAACATTATTGTTTTGAAGAGACTCGTTTCTGTTTGCAGATACAGATGCAGCCATATTTGCTAATTACATGTGTAGACATTTGCTTCCAGCTCAGCAGTACTGCAAAATGGCTTTACTTTACTGCTCCTGTCTCTCTTCAGTGAAGCTGGGTATACACGGATTGAAGTATCGCTCGACAATGGTCATTTCTAGAATGTTTGTTCGATTTTCTAATAGCTCATGGTGTCAAATTGACTATCATTTTCGACCCTAGTAATGAAAGAAATCGAAGGAGCGGGATGGAAGATTTTTTTTTCTTCAAATTAACAAAATTCTAACAGTGAATGTGGCTTTTGTACGAGGAAACTCCATTCATTTCAAAAATCAAATGTTAAAATCAAACTAACGGGGTTATTCACAAAAGGGTGGAGAGTTTGGAGAAGGCAGGAGAAGGAAACAATCTAGGACTACATAGCTGATTAGGAATTATTCTCCAATTCAGCTATGTTGTCCTAGATCAGGGGTCAGCAACCTGCGGCTCCGGAGCCTATTTGTGGCTCTTTCATCCCTCTGCTGCGGCTCCCTGTCCAGGGGCGGAACTACCCCTGGGGCCTGTGGCTGTGTGGGTGTGGGGGTGGGGGGGGGGGGGGGGCAGTGAGGTCCGGTCCTGGGCAGCCCCCTGGTGGAATATGCGGCAGTGCTGGGTCCCGGGGCCCCGCACTGCCAACAGGCTTCTCAGTAAGGAGGCGGGTAAAAAACTATATATGCCGTGTTATCTTCATTTTAGATGTCAAAAGGGTTTTGTGGCTCCCGGTGTTTTCTTTTCTGTGGGAAACAGGTCCAAATGGCTCTTTGAGTGTTTAAGGTTGCTGACCCCTGTCCTAGATTGTTCATTTCTCCTGCCTTCTCCAAACTCTTCACCCTTTTGTGAATAACCCTGTAAATTTTGAATGACGTTCGTCAAGTCTCTGATGGCGTTATCGAATGTTCTGACCAGACTTTTTGCACAAGCACTGCATGAAAATCTACCAGTCACACCAGACTAACTAAAACCAGTAGATTGTCTCGGCATAACTGCTTTCATCTCAGCACTTGTCTATATTATACTGACAGCTACCAGAGGCAGAATGATCTGCAAGCTGTTACAATGACATAGAAAATATCTTTTTGGTTATAACAACCACTCCAAAAGGGGTATTCACTCAAAACACACTATAGCTCTTATTAAAGTAGTGTTTTCCAAACCCATGGTGAAGACCCGGCCTAAAATGCATGGTTTGTACATGTCTGCATAGTTTAATTGGATTGGTGTGATACCAAATACTCCACCCTGTGCATTTAGAGGTTACCTGGAAGGCACGCACTGTTGGTGGGATTTGAGGACAAGTCTAAACAACCTTGCCTTAAAGCATCACTTGCAATTCTTCTCATAGTGACCCATCTTCTGGTCCCGGCCCAATAATAGCACTCCAGAACACACCTGACTAGCCCTTCTTTCCACGTGGCACAGTAAGACATTCACAGCAAGACAGCTGCCATATCAAAAGGATAGTCCAGAGCCTTCATAATGCATTGTAAAATCAGGCTGTATGTTCAGCATGGAGCAAACCTGTAAAAATATTGCAGAGGGTCAATCATTGTTATGTGACAAAACCTCATGTGACAGACACACAGCGACAGTGTATACTACAACAGGATAAGTCTAAAGCTGCCCACACACCTTACGAATATCGGCAGATTTTCGTATGCGAACGCGTTTTCGTCGGATACTCGTAAGGTTGATGGACAGTGTGCAAATCGATCGACTTTTGACTAACCAGCAGGTTAGAAAACTTCGGTCGATCGTACGATTTTCGCAAGGTTGGTGGCGTTTTCGTACGTCAAACTTCGTTCGATTTACACTGTGCATGCGCAGACGAAAATACGTGCGGTCGATTACCGCATTTCATCCAGATGCTTTTCTGTTAATTACCGCTGATCCAACCTTGCGATAAACGAGGCAGGATGGGGCCGCCATACAAAAAAAAGTTTTGTCCGATGATCGCAAGGTGTATGGGCAGCTTTAGACTTGTTGCTTACGAAAGTTAAAGAAATCACAAACTGACCCTTGCAGTGAGGCTACCCCTGCATTACAAAGGGTTAAGTGGTCATTTTGTCTAGGGGGCTCAAATAAAGCAGATTTACTTACATGATCTTCGGTTTAGCCAGCTCCCTCTGGGCTGCTTGACCGGTCCCCAAAGCCTCTTCTCTCCCGGGGTCTAGCGGTCTAAGGCCCGCTGATGTCATCCCTTCTAAAGTAAATTGACTTGCTTTAGACTTGCGGATGCTAAGGAACATTGCTTAGCTGGAGCGGAGGAGGTGGAGGCGAGTACTGACCTCTGCTGGGCCGAGGATCAGGTGAGTAAAACAGCATTATTTGTGCCCCCTAGACAAAACGAGCACTTAACCCAGATCTTGGTTATTCATCTTCATCGCATCATAAAACATGTAGAAATGTAGAAAACACGGAGTTAAGTGTCAGATGGTCTTCCAGTGGACTGAGTATGTCAGGCAAGATCCTCAACAAAACATATTGTAGCAGAGGCACCCATGAGGAAAAGAAAAAAAATCTCTACTACACCATCATCTAGCTCAGCCTGATTACCATCATTGTTACCTACAGCAGCACACTGACCTCCTAAACCACACTGACGTATAGCTCTGCACTGACCTCCTAAACCACACTGACGTATAGCTCTGCACTGACCTCCTAAACCACACTGACCCGCTATACCACACTGACCTACAGCACCACCCTGACGTATAGACCTGCACTGATATACAGCACCACAGTGGCCTACTATACCACATTGACCTGCTATATCACAGTGGCCTACAGCACCACACTGACCTGCTACACACTGGCCTACAGCACTCCACTGACCTACAGCACTCCACTGACTTGCTAGACACTGACCTACAGCACTCCACTGACTTGCTAGACACTGACCTACAGCACTCCACTCACTTGCTAGACACTGACCTACAGCACTCCACTGACTTGCAAGACACTAACCTACAGCACTCCACTGACTTGCAAGACACTAACCTACAGCACTCCACTGACCTACAGCACCCCAGTGACCTGCTACACAACGGCCTACATGACCCCACTGACCTGTCGCACACCGGCCTACAGCAACCCACTGACATATACCACATTGACCTACAGCACTCCACTGACCTGCTACACACTGACCTGTTTCACCTTTCCATGGATCATTGACCTACAGCACCCCACAGACCTGCTATACCACACTGACCTACAGCACCCCACTCACCTACAGCACCCCACTCACCTGTTTCACCTTTCCACGGATCTTTGCCATGTCTTCCTGGAGTTTCTCACTTGATGGGTCATCACAGGGAAAACTCTGAATCATTTTGATAAGGGAGTCCAGTGTTTTAATCTTCTTGCTGTAAAACAAGATTGCATTGTAAGAAGAAGCACCTAATACGCACCCCTTCAGAGTCCAAAATCTTCAGGGATTTCTTCACCGAAACTTCTTCAGAATAAGCCCAAGTGAAAGCTTTTTAACTGTAATGTACTTGTTGTAGATTGCTGCTTTTATCATGTATGCTGCTGCTTATTTCCCCTTTCCTTCACTTAGCTGGGTCCTGGTTTCACCCACTGCCTTGGTTAATCAGCATGAATAGGAAACCCTAAACATAAATGTAACGATGTATTAATAAAATACAGAGCTTCAATAATTTATGTATTTTATATCTGCGTGGCATTCAGCTTTAGAGATCCCATCGATATATTAGCTATACATTGAGGGGAATTTATAAAAACTGGAGCAGACAAAATCTGGAGCAGCTTTTCATGGCAACCAATCAGCTTCTCTCTTTTATTTTCCAAGCTTAACTGAAGAAACTGAAGAGAGAAGATGATTGGTTGCCATGGACAACTGCTCTGGACAACTGCTCCAGATTTTGTCTGCTACAGTTTTGATAAATCCCTCCCAATGTATATAAAACAGCACAGACAGACAAACCTTTGCTTATCATCTGAACCCGGCGTAAGAAGGTGTCGCCACGTAGAGGCAAATCCCAAATAACAGCCCAACTGGAGGAAAAAAACAAAAACAAATCAAAGACAGAACAAATAATCACTGACAACGCACATTATTATAAAGTCTACTGACTGATCTGTTAAGCATATTACACGTTTACCAGATTTAGAAATAATACAATACGAGGGAGAATTAAAAAGTAAATACAATTGATAAATTAAGCGGTAGCAGGAACAGAGAGGGTTGTGCAATGCAGCATATTTACATTCGGTTGGATAGTTCGACCATGTGCAGTACAGCGCTCGGACTTAAGTCGCGTGGTAGTCACCTGGAGAGAAACATGCCCTGCTAGGTGGCTGGAGATCATTATATGCATGGTACTGCCTTAGGAATGAATGGGGCCACAGCGTGCATGCAAAGATGAGCCATACTCTGCTAGGTGGCTGGAGGCCATCATGGCCATGGCACATCCATAGGCATTAAAGTGGCCACAGTGCACATGCGCAGGGACAATAGTACCTTAAGTACAGTAGCTCCATTGATTTCTACGAATGACCATTAATCCACTAGGCGGCTGTAAGCCATTGTGAGCATGGGGCACCCACAGGAATGAATAGGTCACGGTGCCCCTGCACATGAACAATAGTACCTTACGTACAGTGGCCCCAGTGATTTCTATGCATAAACGTCATACACCACTAGGCAGCTGGAGGCCATTATGAGCATGGTACATCCACAGGAATAAACGGGGCCACAGCGCACATGTGCGGGGATAGCTGTTACCATAAGTACAGTGGCCCCATTGATTTTTACAGATGAGCCATACTCCACTAGGTGGCTGGAGGCCATCATGAACATGGCACATGCAAAGGAATAAAGGGGGCCACAGTATATGTGCGCAGGAACAACAGTACCTTAAATACAGGGGCTCCGGTGATTTATACAGATGAGCCATACTCCGCTAGGTGGCTGAGGAACATCATGAGCATGGCACATCTATAGGAATTAAATTGAGCCACAGTGCATTTGCGCAGGGACAACTGTATCTTGAGTACAGTGGTCCTATTGATTTCTATGAATGAGACATACTCCGCTAGGCACCTGGAGCCCATCATATGTACAGCTCATCCATAAAATGAACATAGCCACAGCATGTGCGCGCAGCAGGAAGAGGTGCTGGCAAGACATTTTCCTTGGAAAGTCTGTGCGGGGCCAGGCAAGGCTGCACAATGACGATTGTTGGGACAAGTAGTATGGCGTTTTACCAGACAGACAGCATACACGATGACGGTATTAAAGTTACAGTTGTCCTTTAACTCCTGGCAAAACTTCATTGAAAACAGGTTGAAGTGTTGTGCAAGTTTACTGAAATGAAAACGTTTCAACTAAAAGTCATTCCGCCAGTGGAAGAAGCGGCTAGACAAAGTTCAATCTCCGGGCTACAATGAAAGCAAGGCTGGGAAAGACACCGCCTGACACGAAGGAGCTATAATTAAAGGATGAGCAGCACACGGTGTACTGACAAGGTATCTATATTTGGTGTCAGAGCACTAAAGCTACCGGTCACAAGACCGACAGCAATTGAGGAAATGACTATCTGAAGTCATTTCAAAGTTCACGTATTATTTCTTGTGAATGCCTTTGACATGAAATGAAATTTCTAGTTAATGTAACAGCGCATTGCTGCTCAGGAATGCATTGGTTGTATGCTACTATTACTGATCTATGAAAGCCCTCCTCTCCTCCAAGTCCCAGAAGTGTCATCAACAAGTCATTGCTCTGCAGGGGCTGGTTCTAGGTTTAGACTACGATGAGAAGCTTACCTCTGATCCGGCTCTTGCCCCATGTACGGCACCATACCGTTTACCCTCCGATTCTCCAACATGTTTCCCTTCTGAAAAGCCTTCCTCATATCCCTCCCCATGGTACCTGCAGGAGGCAGAAAACAAACGTTACACCATCAAAGAGAACCTGTTTTTTGCAAAGAAGTGACGCAGGCAAGCACATACCATGAGAGGAGTATATGTAGGATATGTAGGCAAAGGGGAAAGAGGGCAAAGGGGAAAGAGGGCAAAGGGGAAAGAGGGCAAAGGGGAAAGAGGGCAAAGGGGAAAGAGGGCAAAGGGGATACTTTGAGGGTTCAGAAAGGCCCTGTTCGAGCAAATTAGACCATGCTTTATTAAGTTGGCCATAAACCTATAGATTATCTGCAAATTTTCTATGGTCAGATGGAAAACGTGCAACAGATTCCTCCATCTACGCTACACTGTGTGGATGGAGGAATCTCCGGCTGGGCCAAGCTTCAGTATCTTGCTAGTCGGCCCCCCCGCTGGCGTGAACACTCTGATTGGATGCCGGCATTGTTCAGGTATTTTGGGAGCCAGCGGGGCCGACTAGCCAGATACTGAAGCTTGGCCCAGCGGAAGATTCCTTCATCCACACAGTTTAGCGTAGATGGAGGAATCTGTTGCACTTTTTCCATCTGACCATAGAAAATCTGCAGATAATCTATAGGTGTATGGGCAACTTTAGGGTTTATTTTACCTTCTTCTGGATGAACTGTGGGTATAGTGCTCTGTACAGGTGAAACTCGAATAATTAGAATATCATGCAAAAGTAATTGCAGTAAGTGCTGCAAAAGGGGCCCAAACCAAGTACTGAGTACATATGCATGCTTGTACTTTTCAGAGGTCCGATATTGTTCTATGTACAATCCTTGTTTTATTGATTGCATGTAATAATCTACTTTTTTGAGGTTGTGGATTTGGGGTTCTTGGGGTTTTCATGAGCTGTAAGCCATAATCATCACAATTATGACAAATCACGGCTTGAACTATCTTGCTTTGCATGTAATGAGTCTCTCTCATATATTAGTTTCACCTTTTAAGTTGCATTAGTGAAATAAATGAACTTCGCACGATATTCAAATTATTCGAGTTTCACCTGTATATGCAGGTTTTCAGGGTATTGAACTTAATTGACTTTTTGTAACCTGACTAACCATCCCACTAGTCTAGGAGGTGCAGTAACTGAGCTGTATCATGATGATCACATCATGTTAGGTGTCATATAAACTTTTCCTAGTACTAAAAATACTAAATGAAATAACAGCTAAGGAATTTATGGCAAAAGGAAGGATCACCTTCATTTTATAACTGATTTGTAATGAACTGTATGGACAGTAGTACATGTCTGCAGTCACGCTTTCACACGCAGGCTGTAACTATTCCTAAATTCTGCACATCAGCATGACAGATTTGATGACAGACACAGATACTGGAGGATTGCAAAGCTGGAAGGATTGTTGGGTTTCTCATTAACTTCAGGCAATTTGACAGCTGCCCACACTTGTCACTGCTCTCGTGATCGTATTGCACACTCTGATCTGTCTGCTATAGAGGAAATTCTTCCGCTAGAACACAGGTGTCTGTGCTCATTTATACCCTGCATGGATGCTACTCAGGAGTATTAAAAATATGAGCATAGGCGTTTGTGCCAATCCTAAAATACAAATGCCCCTGTGATGGGTAAAACTGCACTTAGATGGGATTGTACATACTAACAATAGCTGGAAGCCCAAATCCATGCTGGGGGGGGGGGGCTTCCAGCTTCCCTTCCCGTGTGGTCCCCCTCACAGACTCAACCCCTTTCTGCCACCTCTTGCCGGTCCTTTATTGGATCATACTGTTGGAATGTGGAGGCAGAGTCCTGATGATGTGACCGCTGTCCTGGCTGTCACTTGATCAGGAGAATGTCCTGGCAGCTCCTGATCGTTTAGGCCTCATTCACACGAGAAAAAGCCGGCACGTACAGCTCCGATAATTAAGAGATAAGATAAAGGTTCTAGTGCAGAATAAAACTTTTCATTGATGTCTGTACATCAGACTAAAAATAGGGACAACTGAAAAGGAGATTTGATTCCAAATGAGGGACAGTTGGGTAGTATGCTGGCAATGGGGACAGGTAATGTGAGAAGTGGCACGAGGGCTGATTTTGCAGGCAATACTGAGTTTTGGATGTGTGGGTTAGGCGACTGCAGTCCATCAGGCAGGAACTGGATACTGGAACACGGCAGCACCAAGCAGGAGGTCAGAGCGTAGCCAGGACACGAGCCCAGGGACATAAAACATAGAAAACTATACTAAAATATTACTTCTATGAAAATACGAGGGTGTGCCTGGACATCTGTTGGCTATTTGGAAAGGCCCATTCACAATCCACCCCAACACACATTCCCTAATGTGCATTATGGCCACATTGCTGAAAAATGCTGCATGCACCCTTTCAGTGCGTTTTGGTTGTGAATGAATGGTCTGCCTTAAAGTGACACTAAACTCAGAAGTGAATTCTTATGAATGCATTCAAGTACCATAACTATCAACATAAATCCTGAGATTGTGATGGACTACAATCTCATGTTTATTTTACTAATTTGTACTGAGATTGTAGTGGTGACTACTGTACAACACACAAGGACCATGGGGAACAAAAGTAGCCACCCTCCAGAAGGAAGGACAGTGTCAGCACCAATTCAGAGATGATTGGAGGATCTACAGCCGAGTGAAACACAAATAAGATACATTTTTGTTATTAGTTAAGGTACTTGAATGTATTTTAAGTTTTAACTCCGGAGTATAGTGTCACTTTACATTTTATAAAATCTCAGGAGTTCTTCTTTAACCCTTGCAAGGGAGGCTCCACTGCAAGGGTATGTTTTTTGCAATCCTCAGAGTTCAGATTTAGCGCATCGCACTAACACACCACAATGATGTGAATGAACCTGAAGTCACATAGTGACAGACAGACCAGCAATATCTACATAAGCGCAGCAGATAAAAATGAAACCAACCCCTTTCGTATAATCACACACCTTTCCTCGCTCATGACGATGCCTTCAAACAGGTCCTCTGCGGGTTCCATGTCGGTAGAGACAACAGCAGGAACATAGACAATACCCTAAAACAAAAGGTAACGTTTATTATTCACAGGAAGTACAGTGTGAGCACTGCGGACTTATTTTAACTGTTTTGTCATTAACATACCACCACCAATATCTCTTTTATTTCCAAATGTAAACAAGGCAACGTGTTGTATCTTCTTCCTGGGAAGAATTCGCCTCCCTCTTATGAACCAAGCCTTGCTCTGAGCTGTATTTGCTGGTCTGGTCAGGAACCAAGCCTCACTTTGAGCTCCATTGCTGCTGCCTTCTTAAACCAAGACTCGCTCTGAGCTCCATTCATGCTGTCTTCCTAAACCAAGCCTCGCTTTGAGCTCCATTCACGCTGTCTTCCTAAACCAAGCCTCGCTTTCAGCTCCATTCATGCTGTCTTCCTAAACCAAGCCTCGCTTTCAGCTCCATTCATGCTGTCTTCCTAAACCAAGCCTCGCTTTGAGCTCATTCATGCTGTCTTCCTAAACCAAGCCTCGCTTTCAGCTCCATTCATGCTGTCTTCCTAAACTAAGCCTCGCTTTCAGCTCATTAATGCTGTCTTCCTAAACCAAGCCTCGCTTTCAGCTCCATTCACGCTGTCTTCCTAAACTAAGCCTCGCTTTCAGCTCATTAATGCTGTCTTCCTAAACCAAGCCTCGCTTGCAGCTCCATTCATGCTGTCTTCCTAAGCCAAGCCTCGCTCTGACCTCCATTGACGCTGTCTTCCCAAGCCAAGCCTCGCTCTGAGCCTCCGGTCGGTGTCGTGACCTGTTTCAGTTTTCTGGGTTCCGTTTTGTATCATTTTAAAACTGTCCACACACACACTTCTTCCGGTGTACTCACTCAGAACTCTCAACATTTATTAAAAGTATACATATTGCACTGACTTGCCACGTGCAACAGGCAATATTTGTAAACACTGGAGTAGACGGAATCTGGAGCAGTTGCCCATGGCAACAAATCAGCTGGTCTCATTTTCAAAGCTTAACTGATTGGTTGCCATGGGAAACTACTCCAGATCTGTCGACTCCAGTTTTTATGAATTCCTCCAGCCAGTGTATAAACATGTAGTAGAAAATCAATAGACCGTGGAATCCGTGGAACTGATCAATAATCAGTGGAACTACAAATTATGTCATGCATCTGTCTCTGGAAGTGATGTTTGTGACTGTCAGAGTCTTACAATGCCCAATGGGGATTGAGGGCTGAAGTTGTCTGCCCCTGCAATATGCAGAACATGCCGGTATTGTCCCTATGTGTCCCCCGGACTCTGAGGTCTTAAAGGAGAACTATGGGGTTAAGGCTTTTCCCCATAGTTCTCCTTAGGGTAACGGGAGGACACAAACTACTTTCCTCCCGTCACCCTAAGCTCAGTATACCACAAGCTACGGCTCGCTATACTGAGACGGAGCAGCTGAAGCGGATCCCGACAATTCTTTCTGGATCCGCCCAGCTGCGTGAGTGACAGCTGGCTCTGCCTATCTAGAGGCAGAGCCAGCTGTACCCTCCCCCATCCGTTCCCGCCAGTCAGCGCTTGCGGATCAGAGCGGGGAGGGGGGAGTCCAGCCCCTCCCCTGTCACGGCAAAGAGCCGTGACAGGATCGAGAGGTGAGCGAACACCGGCATGTGTTCGCTCACCTCCCGATCTACTGAGCCGACCTGTGACAGTCTCATTGTCACAGGTCGGCTAGAACTATGAGGTGAGTGAAAAGCACTTACCTCATAGTTTTCCTTTAATGTTAGCTATTGCACAGCGCACCTAGCGTGCGTTACTATGCGTTAGGTGTGTTGCATCATTTGAATGGCGCCACAACACATCTCATGGCCACTGTGCATTGTATGGACTACTTTTACCACAAAACCATGCATTGCTGTGGAAAAAGTAGTACCGCAACACACGCCAGTCAAATGAATGGTAACACACGCTAGGTGCGCTGTGCGATAGCATGGTTTAATGGCACGGTATTGTACGATTAACGCAACACTATGGTGTGAATGGGCTCGTAGGCCTGAGTCACACTGACAATGACATACATGCATTTAAGACAGGACATTTTTAGACAGGTATGGTATTTAAGGTTGACACCCGTCTGTTTTTCACCCTTCCAGCTAGTGGGCACCCGGACACAAGACACTCAGTGCCAACACCGGCACTTTACATTTTCTGACAGATGCGACTGCCGAGGTCCTCGGCAACCGCAGTCTCGGGCAGCCGCATCGGCCTGAAACCTGATCTTTCTCTAAGCTACGGGCAGCCTGTGCCTTTTTACATTGTCCGCAGCTCAGAGAAAGATCCAGGTTTCAGGCAGATGCGGCCGCCCGAGATCACGCTTGCCGAGGACCTCGGCAGCTGCATCTGTGATTGCTTCTCCGGCTCCCTGACACCACGCTGCCCGCCTGCGGACCTCTGGTGAGACATCCTAGCCCAGACAGCATTGAGAGTCGCACCGCCCACCTGAGAGTCGCACCGCCCACCTGAGAGTCGCAAAGCCCACCTGAGAGTCGCACCGCCCACCTGAGAGTCGCACCGCCCACCTGAGAGTCGCACAGCCCACCTGAGAGTCGCACCGCCCACCTGAGAGTCGCACAACCCACCTGAGAGTCGCACAGCCCACCTGAGAGTCGCACCGCCCACCAACCCAGAACAACACAGAGTATGTAGCTTCATATTATTTTGTATTGCTGTATAATGTATTGCTGGTATTTGTAGTCCCCTATAGCCGGTCTCCATACTCGCTCCTCTGGCTGCCTCTCCTCTATAATTAATATTAAAACAAATTGCGGCGCTAAAGTGTACGGGTTTCACTAGAAGAAAAGCTGGCGACCCTAAGGGAATATCACACACACACCTGAATAAAGTATTCAGAAACGTCTATTATTGACGCATGCACATCATGTCACAAAGAGGGCACTGTTTCGGGGCCACTCAGGATCCCTTCATCAGGCTCATTAAGGAGTGCAGTGGGACATGTATTGGACTATAGAACATTTTAAATTGCATATAAATGAATGTCATGATTTGACGGGCAGAATGAAACCGAAGCTTTGCGCTAAAGGCACATGTTCCTTAGTGTACGCTATCACACACGGCAGTGAAGCACAGCCTTGGTGGGTTGGAAGCACAGCCTTGGTGGGTTGGAAGCACAGCCTTGGTGGGTTGTGTTGCCATTCATTATGAATGGTACCCCAATGCACTTTCCGGTGCGTGCATGTGCTATTTAGTTTTTCTTATCAGGGCAATTCAAATTAATCCTTGCTATTGCAGTAACCCAACACAACAAACAGGTGCATTGGGGCTGCAACAAGTAATCGACAGTCGATTATAATCGATGATGGAAAACGTTGTCTCCGCCGCTGCCCGCCCATCCACGATCGGCACACTGAACATGAAGCCAGGAGGAGCAGACGTGGTGGGACGGCAGCTGGAGGGTGGAGAGTGTTTAGGTAAGACTGCCTGCACTTTCCCCCCAAGTGGTACAATTGCACTGTATTAATGTATTGCTGGGATAATGGGATTTGTATTCCTCTATAGCTGATGGTACATTGTGCTGTATATTATACAGAGCAACGTACCATCAGCTATAGAGGAATACAAATCCCAGCAATACATTATATACTGTATGTATAATGTAGCGCTGGCATTTGTTGTATTCCTCTATAGCTGGTGGTATTCCGCATTGCGCTGTATAGTGTACTATTGCTGGGATTTGTTGTATTCCTCTACAGCTGGTGGTATTCTGCATTGAGCTGTATAGAGGAATACAACAAATCCCAGCAATAGTACATTAGACTATAATCCCCATGGTACCTGTGTGCGTTGTAAAGTAGTCACTGCTCCAAGCTCACTCCCGTGATGGACTACAATCTCAATACAAACTAGTAGTACATCACTGGAGCCATTTTTCAAAATTAATTTTTAATTATTTTTTATCCGATTAATCGAACGTAATAATCGGCTAACTAATCGATTTTGAAAATAATCGTTAGCTGCACCCCCTAATTGAGAATGAACCATGGCGCCTAGCTCTGTGCACTAAACGTATGGAATGCACAGGTTTAGCGCAACACTATTGGGTGAATGGGCCCTATATGGTATCGTTCACACTGTGTGCGTTTACTTGCATTTGCGTGCGTTACGTTTAGCTGTGGTTAGAGCTTGTTTGCACCAAATGCATTTATGTGCTTTTTGCAAAACGCATTACGAAAGCACGCGCAGTAAAATCAGCTGTTTCTAATCACTTCCCATATACCCACATTAACCATTCACTTTGTATTTAACCCTTACCTCCCTGCCTATTGCACAGTCACATGAATGCTTTATTATATGAAATCGTTATCAGAAATAAATAATAATTCAATAAACCGTCATAGATAACACATAGGGGCTGATTTATAAACCGCCACTAGATGGAGCCGAGGAGCAGAATAAATTCCTATGCTCCTCAGCGCCATCTAGTGGTGGTAGTAGAGTGCAAAGGGCATTCCCCCAGCTATACGCTGGGTGGAAGATTTATAAAGCAGCCTCTTATATTAAACCTTTCGCTGCCAGGGGAATATGCACATTCCTTGCGCGCCTGCTGGCTTGTCTGATTTTAACAATGTTATAACAATAACATTTCTAATGCATACTTCACTATTAATCTTAACCCCATAAACCAGGGGTAGGCAACATTGGCACTCCAGCTGTGGTGAAACTACAAATCCCATCATGACTCTGCCTCTGGGATTAATGTCTGGGGCTGTCATAGACTTTCAATGCCTCATGTGACTTGTAGGTCCACACCAGCTGGAGGGCCGAGGTTGCCTAGCCCATCTAAAATCCATATATATATATTTTCAGCAGGGGTGTCGTCAATTTTGAATTCCTAAAAAATGATGATAAAATGTGAAATATCAGCATAGAAAACAACAATTTTATATAATAAAATATAAATCATTAAAGTGTATCCAGAGGCGTCCTCAGGCTAGGTGTCACCTGGTGCGGCCTCGGGGTGTCACCCACTGGGA